AATTTTACTTGAGAACATGTTTTTTTTTATACTTACAACCTTCTGCTTAGATGTAGGCTCTAACAGCGTCACAGATAAAATTAGTTGTGAGAAGGAGCACAGCTGGCCGAACTGGCTAATAAAACACCTCCATCGGTCGGTGATGCTTTTTAGAAAATTGTATTCTTTACCTTAGCATATAGTTCTATTATATAATTTATTGAATAATGAGGAAGACTCGTTTTGTCGACCATTAATAAAAAAAAATAAATAAATGTTATATCTATCGCCACCCCCCACTAACACCCTAGAGCTATAAATCAAGTTAATAACCCAACTTATATTTTTATAAGAATACACAAATATTTTATGGTACAATAAGATATACTGAAGAAAATTTCATTAAGATCGGTTATGAAAAAACCAAAGTTATATGTAACTGCGCAATTGGATCGGCAGCTAGCGAAAACATCAATGCAATAAATGCATTTGGTGTTGGAATAAGAGGGGTCAGGGTATTCCCTAGTCGGGAGCTCCCAACTATAACTCTTAAATCAATTTTTATAAAGATCTTTTAAATGTAGTTTTGAAGCAAATCAAATGGTAAAGTCTATATATATTTATTAGAATTCAAATTTGCGCCTATAACTTCCAAACAGATACAACATTTTTGAAACTGATTGGGTAAAACTTAAAACTGCGCTCATACAACATTTTCCATCCAAGAATTTGTTTTTTGCAAAAAGTGTGAAACTTATAACTGTTAAAATTTCACAATGATTTTGAATCCAATTCTCTACACTTGCGGGTAGAATTTCCCAAGGCGATGATTACTCCCCCCTTCATTGCGAGACACTACGATTCGATTTTGTAGAGTCTGTGATATAAGTTTTAGACAAGTCTAAGTAAAAGCAATATTATCAAAAACCGAACTTAAATAGATTAAGCAGACATTTAAAGGTTTGATGATGAAGCCATTCAGAAAATGGGTGAAAAATGTATGTCTAAGGTTTGGTGGAAAGAACTTAGACCCGGGAAGGACGGGTTATACCAATCTGTGATTAAATAAATTAACAAAACTTATATCTATTTCAGACAGAGTCTGCTCTCATGTTCGATTCGGTATATGCATTTGCATATGGGCTAAAACATTTGGATAGTAGTCACACTTTAACGTTCAGGAATCTGTCATGTAACTCTGACCGAGTATGGAGCGACGGACTCTCGCTATATAATTATATTAATTCGGTGAGAAAATGTTAATTATAATTTTGATAATCTTAAATTATATTGTTTTTATTGTTATAGGCTGCAGTTGATGGCTTGACTGGAAGGGTTAATTTTATTGAGGGTCGAAGAAACAAATTTAAAATAGATATACTAAAACTGAAACAGGAAATAATACAAAAAGTCGGCTATTGGCAACCGGATGTGGGTGTTAACATTTCTGATCCTACTGCATTTTACGACTCCAACATTGCAAATATAACTCTGGTCGTAATGACTAGAGAGGTTCGTCCACTTATTCATATTTATTTTTTAATTATAATCTTTTTTATACTTTGTTTGGGCCCACCAGGAACGTCCGTATGTTATGGTTAAGGAAGACGCAAATCTTACTGGAAATGCTAAATTTGAGGGCTTTTGCATAGACCTACTGAAGGCCATAGCACAACAAGTTGGCTTCCAATATAAAATTGAATTGGTTCCTGATAATATGTATGGTGTTTACATACCGGAAACGAATTCTTGGAATGGAATTGTGCAAGAGTTAATGGAAAGGGCGAGTATATACATTTGTTTTACAGCATTTATATATATATAATGAGTTTGGTCAAGAATCTTTGCTATATATATATATATCCGATCTTAATAGGATTTTGCTTATAGATGAGGAGCATAGTAAAACTAATAAATGCTGAGTTTGGTCAAGAATCTCAGCTACGTATATATATATATATAGTTGCCATAGGAACGATCGGTCGAAAATTAAATTGTATGAAAAAACAATAGGTTTTTTAAGATATCTTGCCCAAACTCGGCATTAACAATTTTCCTTTCGCTTCTTAGATACGGGCAAAGCACTATAAGCATTATGAAAAGGTTGGGTCAGCAAGGGTATTAGATCTTCGGCGTGCCGAGGATCTTCTTTCTCGTTTTTTATAACCTGAACCCATTAAAAATGGGTATGAGGGTATATTGTATTTGTGCAAAATCCAAATGTATGTAACAGGCAGAAGGAAGCATCTCCGACCCCATAAAGTATATATATTCTTGATCAGCACCAATAGACGAGTCGATCTAGCCATCCGTCTGTCTGTCCGTCCGTCCGTATGTATGAACGCAAGGATCTTAGAACCTATAAGAGCTAGAGACTTGAAATTTTAGATGTAGGTGTTCAGATGCGCAGATCGAGTTTGTTTCCGATAATCGCAATTTTGGTAAATAATAAGAACTAGAGTCACCAAACTTGACAAATACCTTCTAAAATAGAATATATATATGCATTTGATGTTAAAAGAAGACGGTTCAGGGTATCCCCTAGTCGGGAGCTCCCGACTAGAACCTCTCACTTGTTTCAAATAATTTACGAATAGCGGACAGTTGTGCAATGCCCCTGTAATTTTGTAAGGAGAAATTATATGTAGAGAGAAATTATATAAGATTCTTTCCAAAGTGATGGAAAGATACAAGTTTCAAGGGATAGATTAAAAAGCTTTAGCAATGGATTAAGAAGGGAAGAACTACACTCCTTGAGTAGACAACTAGGAATAATGTCAAGCCCAGGAGAGTAAGAAGATTTCAAAGAATTTATAGCTAAAAGGAGAAAGGAAGTAATAGCATAAGGGTAAGAGTTATTATTGGAATAGACGGAAGAGTATGTTTATTGGAAAAAGTTAGCAAAGGGGATATCAGAATCAGAGTCATTGCTTTATCCATCCCGAGAGAAAAAAGACTATGGCAAACTTGAATTAAAAATTAACTCTTTAAGTGTACAAAATTGTAAAACTGTCTCGGATTTTTGGAAAATTTCTCTTTGCAACGAGTTAGATAATTCTCATAGCATGGAGAATTCAGAAGAAAGAGTTCAACTTAGCTATGGAATATTTAGCCAGGTCGGTACTCGAACCAAGCTTATTAAACTTTAAAAAATATTTAGATTTTATATTTTTTAGGATTTAAAATCTGGGAGTGAACCAGGGTGGAATTGACTTGGGGGATACACATATCAGGGACTTATAGATTTTTGAAAAAAAACTAATAGTAGTATTCATATCAACCGCGTCGTATAAGAAAGACCAATCGGTTGCATAAATAAGCTGATTCAGCAATAAATAATTTTCTTTGCGAAAGCAACTTCTGGGCTTATTGGCTGTTGAGCACGAGATGAGAGGATTACAATTGAACATTGCAACCTCTAAAGTATGATAATATACAACCTCAGGAAGAGATAAAGGAAGGGACCTAGACACATTAGCAATAAGGTAAGAAATACAAGGTTAAGTGTTCTATTCAAATGCTTAGAAATTGAATTGATTTGAAACAACGATAGATCAAGCATGCAGAAGAATTTATAGTCTTTAAAATCGTGCTGTGCTGAGGGCACTAGATAATTCTCGGCATTGAATAATGACCAAGAGATGCTCGACCAATTAAAGTCTCCCAACACCATAAATAGGTCATTATCATGCACGTGTAAAGAAACTACTTTTATACAAGTAATATGTTTCATATAAAGTTGAATATCAGAAGAATGAGAGACATAAGAGCATGTTATATAGATATTCCCTGAAGGAAATGACATCTTCACTGAGACAATCTTAGCGTCAGTAGGCGTACTAAAACAGAAAAGATATGACTGGAGAGTGGCTTTACCCCACCACCTGAGTCGCCAATCATTTCTTTGCGAAAAAACCTCAAAATCAGATATGATTTAATTAAACCATGTTTCTGAAAATGCTATATAGTGCTGGCCATGAAAAGATTTTTAAGCTTGGAAATGAGACCGCTGATATTCTGATAATGAATAAATATTTGGTAGGAAGACGAATCTCGTTTTTTGGGGCAGAAACGGTACCCAGTATTGAAGGGACTGGAAGGGTGACAGGCTGGTTTCGCTTTTTTGGCTTGAACTCCAGAACAATCATTGGGAACATATCATGTGAAAATAAATGTAATTTGGAATAACTTTACAAGAACTTGAATCTTAAACTGAAGAAGAATGAAGAATCAAATGTTGCAGTCAACGGTGGTGAATGGGAATCTTATACTTTCCTTTATTAAACCTTTGACTCACATTTTCTATCCAAGAGATTTAAGAGATGATCCTAATATCGTAGAAAATAAATATGAACAAGATCTTGAAGAATGATTCGTAATAAATGAAATTAAACATAGATCTTTAAAAAAATATTGAGGTCGTTTATCGTGAGTTGAATTTATTCAAAACCTTCATCACATAAGGTAACTTCAGCGAAAATTTCAGCTTCCAAGCTCTTAAGGTTTGGGCTGTGCGTTGATCACCAAACAGTCAGAGTTGGTCAGGACACACAGGTTTATATATACAGATATATTTTTCTTAAATATTTTGTTTTTATGCAAGCCAATAAATGAATTCTTTTTATTATATTTCAGCGTGCAGATTTAGCTGTCGCGTCAATGACTATTAACTATGCACGAGAAAGTGTTATAGACTTCACCAAACCATTTATGAATCTCGGAATTGGCATTCTTTTCAAGGTAAAATGTTATTACCCTCCTAAAGGTAGTTCAAATGCACACAAGATAATAAGTGTACACTTTCGAAAATCCAATTACTTAATCTTACTTTTGGTACTCTTGTGACTCGCATATGTCAGACAGTGAACCATGTAATACTGTCAAAATTATTTTTAAAAAAAATTACGTGCTCTACTTACTTGCATGTATGTAGCTAGGATAGACTTCTTTTAGATGCATTTGTTGTATGTTAATTAACTAAATGTTCAGCTGTAATTTTGAAAAAGCTTAATCATAAATCCTTTAGGTGCCGACAAGTCAGCCCACACGACTGTTTTCCTTTATGAACCCATTGGCAATTGAAATCTGGCTGTATGTGCTAGCTGCTTATATCTTAGTATCCTTCGCGTTATTTGTGATGGCTCGCTTCTCTCCGTATGAGTGGAAGAACCCGCATCCGTGCTATAAGGAAACTGATATCGTTGAGAATCAGTTTTCGATATCCAACAGTTTCTGGTTTATAACGGGCACATTTTTGCGACAAGGATCCGGTCTGAATCCGAAGGTATGTTTGGAATTAAGCTTATTCGCATTTACTGACAATTTACTAGATATTGTGTGCCTATTTCCCCGTGGTTTTTGAGTATTCGATAAGCACTGAGCCTTTGTATTTCTTAAGTTTTATTGTCTTTCAGATATCAGATCGAGCTCAAACGAAGTTTTTCTCTTTTATGAACCCACTCGCCATCGAAATATGGTTTTACATAGCATTCGGCTACATTCTTGTATCATTCTGTATCTGGATAGTAGCACGATTATCACCAATGGAATGGGTTCGTTCGAAACCAGCCTGTTCCATGGCATGCGACCATATGTTACGAAAAATTCGAAAAGCTAACAATGACTACGATCAATTGGAACTCAAATCTTTCGATAATGATCGGGATCCAGATACCAAGTGCTGCAAAGAGCACATTAATAATTTAAAGCTAAATGATGAACACACAGCTAATAATCATGATAATGCGGCTACTGTCGACTATTTTATAAAGCCCACTGTTCTTCAGGATGATGATGAGGAAGATGATGATGACCCCTTGGAGTTAGAGAGCGTACAAAATGACTTTACACTGAAAAATAGCTTTTGGTTTGCAATTGGTGCTCTAATGCAGCAAGGGGCCGACTTGTATCCAAGGGTACGGATATCTGCTATATAACAAAAAATAGGTATTCTCTACATATAAAACAGTTTTTCCTGATGGACGGACTGACTGATTGGTGATAAAATCTAGGGTTCCTTATGTGATGAGGGTGCCCGTTTAGATGGGGTTTCGGGAAATTCTACCGCATGTGTGCAAAAACCGTGAAAAACGTTTGTATGTAACTTTCAGCTTACCATCCGATTGGCCTTAAACTCAATTTAAAAGAATTTTATTCAAATTTAATTAAGGGGCTGTTTTACACTTTGGAAAATAGGGGTCAAGGATTTGTTTGTGGAAAATAATTTCGGACTCGTTGCACACTTTTAGGCATTCTCAGTTCCAAGTTCAAGATAGTACAGGAAGAACTGGGTGAACATGTTCTAATCTAAATTGATAGGAACAAAATTTGACACGGGCAGGCTGGGAAATATGCAATATATATATTGTCCAAGTTCTTAGCGTGGAACTCCACGTCGACAGTTATATTTTATATTGATATTTTTAAATGAATTAATAGGTGGCATCAACGTCTTTTGTCTTTTTAGGCCGATGGGGAAATCCTGAAACCGAAAAATATACTGTTCATTTCTACTTTTTTCATTTTATGTTCATTCTTTGCACTTTAACTCAATTGCAAATTATCCTTCAAGAGTTATTTGAAATGAGTCACATGCTAAAGAAAAAATTGTAAATTTTCAAAAAGTTTCCACGTTCGCGGGTCGAATATGGATAATATAAAGTTTTTTTTAAAGATCTTTGCAAATAAACTTTTGCGAAAAACGTAAAACAGGTATCAAATATTTATTCACAAAAATAATGTAATGTTCAGTGTGGAATTTCCAGACTAGCTAAAACACGTGCTCACACGTAATCTTAAGGCTGATGGGACAAAACTTAAAATTGCACCTAAAAAATCATTGATTGGCATTTCCCGCCAAAGACCATAGATTTTGCGAAAGGTGTGCGGCAAGACTGAAATTAATTTTTATCAGGATCCTTAGAAATGAAATGAAATTCGAAAATCCGTTCTAAGTCCTTAAGGCTTTGAGGCTGATCGGATGGTAAACAACAAGTTTATTAAAGTCCTCCATTAGAGTGTACCTCCATTACATAGGTAAGTTCAGGTCAATAAATCAGACAGACTGTAAGGACAGACAGTTTTATACATAGAGGTACATTAAAGCTAGCTCAACGGCACGTTTATTGATAAGAAGGAGGAAATATAAAAGATAAGGCCAGGGGAAATTGGATGGCACAATATTAAAATGTTTCTAGCTCTTATGTTAGACATATATATTAATATTCCTTTTTTATTTATTTCCCAGGCAACATCTACCCGGATTGTTGGCGGCTGCTGGTTTTTCTTTTGTCTTATTATAATCTCATCATACACAGCCAATTTGGCTGCCTTTTTAACAGTCGAACGTATGATAACCCCCATTGAAAGTGCAGCGGATTTGGCAGATCAAACTGAAATCTCATACGGCACTTTGGAAGGCGGATCAACAATGACATTTTTTAGGGTGAATATTTGAGGAAAAAATACATATAATAGATAAGATAAGGCGCATAGTAAAATTAATAACCGACCTGTGATGATACCTGAAATAATTTCTATATTTAGTATTGATAGAAGAAGGTTCAGGTACTACCGAGTAGAGCACTTGCGCTTTTTATTTTAATTTATTCCTTGCATATGCATCGAATATTTCAGGACTCAAAAATTGGGATATATCAGAAAATGTGGCGCTACATGGAAAATCGAAAAGCATCTGTGTTTGTGAAAAGCTACGAAGATGGAATAAAGCGCGTAATGGAAGGCAATTATGCTTTTCTAATGGAATCGACAATGTTGGACTATGCCGTTCAGAGGGATTGTAATTTGACACAGATTGGCGGCCTGTTGGATTCTAAGGGTTATGGTATTGCAACACCTAAAGGATCTCCTTGGAGGGACAAAATTTCTTTAGCGATATTGGAATTGCAAGAGAAGGGCATTATTCAGATACTCTACGACAAATGGTGGAAAAATACGGGCGATGTGTGCAACAGAGATGACAAAAGCAAAGAATCCAAAGCAAATGCGTTGGGTGTGGAAAATATTGGTAAGAAGGACAAATCGCTTTCCGAGTTAAAAGATGTACCCTTACCCTTAATCTACTTATTTCAGGTGGTGTATTTGTTGTTCTACTTTGTGGACTTGCGCTTGCGGTGGTTGTGGCCATTTTTGAATTTTGTTGGAATTCAAAGAAAAATCTGCACACAGACAATCAATCCTTGTGTTCAGAAATGGCCGAGGAGCTGCGTTTCGCCATGCACTGCCAGGGCTCCAAGTCAAAGCAGAGACCTGCACTTAAACGTGATTGCATTAAATGTGCTCCCGGGTCCACTTACGTACCAACTAATGTTACAATGCCAAACTTGGGCGTTCATTATAACTATTTTAATTGATTCAGATTCCGAAAATAAAACATCAAAAAACTTCAAAGAACGGTTAAGGCTTTTAAAATTAAGTAAATGATGCTCATATATGTGCATGTACATGCATATGTATCTGCTTTACAGACATCTATTATTTTTGTACCAACTTTCAAAAATAAAAACACACTTGTTGCGAAGCGAATAAGACTCTAGTCTTTCAATAAACTATCCAGGAGTCTCGATACTCATGGAATGGGTATTATCATGTATTAAATTCCAACTGAATATTTGAATATTTGTGTGCTGAGTTTGGGTCGGTAGCAAACCGGTAAGTCGAGGGCAATCATTATAAATTGTATTATTAATTATTTTGATTTTATTTTGTCGTAAGTTGATAAAACTTAAATTGAAAGTAGGGAAAAATTTAGTAAAAAATTGATTTTTCAAAAATATCAAGAACCAGTATAAGAAACAAATTTTTGGTACGTGTGATGTATTTTAGATAAATAGATCTATTTTAAGTCACTCCTACGAATTATTTAAATTGATTATTTTAATATTTGCTTGCTTACAATTTACTTGTTTTCCGACCTAACTCAGTAAACCAAGCATTTAAATATAATTTGGAATCAAACAGCTACAACATCTCCAGAATAAACCTAATTACAGTGGGCCATTGCGCAAATATAGTTATTGAATAGGGTGTCCTATGTCATATCAAATATTTGATATTATATTTGCAAATCAAATTTAGCACTTTGTTCTAAGGTAACGTATCTCACATGTTAGACATTTTCGTTCAAAATATTCGCAAACAAAACGATGCAGATCAGCTTTGCTGTAGGCTGGCGACTGCCTTCGCTGCTCGAATCATCACCAAGCCTGCAATTCTTTCATGTTATTAATTATGTTATCTTTGGTATATACATATGGCATAGCCTTGTGAGTGGTATGCACACACACAATTGGGTTTTTAGAGCCTGCGACTAGAGGCCGCTTGCTATTCTGCGGAAAATCTAGATTACGGATATTTGTACATATGCGATATTTATTGTTTTAGTGCGTGTACATTTTGTTAATTGTGCTAAGCAGACTTTAATTTCTAAAATTCTATATTAAAAACAATATTACCGTTTATTCTTTTTACAAGACTTGCTAATTTTGCGCCTCTTCAATATCATGTCGTATAAAGCATCCAATCCCTCTTGTAGCCCTTCTCCAGTAATAGCACAAGCGGGCTGTATGTACCAGCCCTTTAGTTGCGTGGATGCGTTTATGTTATTATGCTTTACTGTAAACTGGGAGCTGTTCTTTGTTGGTGATGTTGTATGTGGTGCGTTGCTCTTAGCCTCGTTTGGCAAACTGGAGTCTTTACTCTTGGACTCCGCGTGCAATTGGGAATTTTGCGATTGTGGATATGTGACCTTTGTGGACGATACGTGTCTTTCATTACACTTGTCCGCATCAGGTGCCATCTGGGTTGCTGGGCCCGGATTAGAATAACTTTGGTTTGAAGTGGAAAAACCGACAATGTTTCCTGTTGATGTTGAGCTGGAACTCGATATATTCGATGTTGGATTGTGTAGCTCATGTAATCCTAAGAGCTTTTCAAGGTCCTTGGGACAACATGCGTTTGGTAGATCTTGTTTGTTGGCTAAAATAAGCACAGGGACCCCCTGAAATCAAATTTAGAAGAGGTCTTAAATCATTTAGGTCGTGCGCTTTCTTTTCAATCAAATATACATACCTGATTGTCTGGACATTTGGCTGTACGCATTAACTCCATTTTTGCCTCTTCCATGCGATCCGTATCGACCGAATCCACAACAAATAGAATTCCATCTGTGCACCTATTGAATATACAATTTTGTTTATCAATTGATTTGGCCAATACATCAAAATATTATCTTATATATATTTGCGGTCTTTCAAATGTAGTTTTGTATGCATGTATACATAGATACGTATATATATGTATCTATGTGTATGTTGTTAGAAAACTTCTGTTTTACGTACCGAGTATAGCTTCGCCAGAGCGGCCGAAGTTTTTCTTGTCCACCCACATCCCAAACGAGAAATTGAACACCCCTTGCCTTTCCTAAAGTTCCCTGAACCTATAAGAACAAATTAATGACTTCATTCTTTTGCAACTCTTTGAATTATGTACCTTCTCACAATTAAATCCAATAGTGGGTACTGTGTTTAAATACTGATCGAACTTAAGTCTGTACAGTACTGTTGTTTTGCCAGCAGAATCCAAGCCGAGCATTACAACGTGTAGTGTTCCCTGCAATAATTATTGTCATTGGTTATAAATGAAAACATTAAACATGCTGTATGGGCTACCTGTGAAGGCAAGGCATCCAATAAATTTCCATTTTTCACCATCGTTGCCCCCATTTTTTTTGTGTTCTTACATTGCCACAGTTTTGTTCAGGGGTGCTGACACTCTATCGATATATCGTATTTAAAGGCTTAATACGTAAGTCAAGTTAGCGGCGGTGACTTAGCGTCGAATTTTGGTACTTGCTATCGAAAAAGTATCGGTCATTTTAAAATGCATTTATTTATGTTTATAAGCACGTAACCATATAAATTTAAAGGCATAATTGTACAATATTAAATTATTTACTGTCTGCATTCATTTTATTTTCTATATTTATAACAGAACAAAAATGGCAAAAGCATCAATACAACACTTGTAGGAATAATTAAAAAAAAATTAAATTTAAATTTAAATATATAGAAAATAAAATATGGAAAATAGAATAGCTAACTAATTGTTAATAAGCTGTAACAGAATATTCAATGCAAAAATAAAATTATTTTTATTATTTATTTATTATTCAGAAAATTTTTAAACTTAAAAACATAACTTTTTTTTAATTAATTACTATTTCTTTTATTTTAAATCAGCTTTTAAGGCAATAATTATTTCGGTAAAACATTGGAAGTTAAGTATTACGTGTATCTTTGTCTGCTTAGTGTAGGCGGAGCAGTAGCAGGTTTGAAGTTAGACATCAACTCTTTGGGGGAGATCAAGTTGGTGTTTTCTTTTGAGCCGTCTCGTTGAGCTTTTGTCCAATATGTTGGTGGCAAGATTGCTTGGGTGGTTTCATAGTCTAGAGATGTAGCGATCGGAGATGCTTCATTCTGTATTTTACCGACATTCAATGGGTTCAGGGTATAATTATTTATCGCAAAAGAAATTACCAGGCAAGTGGGTAATGACTATCCACCCGGTCCCAATCAGTTAAACAGGGTAGCAGCATAATGCAGAAGAGGACATGACAATGACCTGTGCTTCAAAATTCTGCTAAGCAACAGCCGCTGCACCAAATCAGCGACAATGCCCAAAACTAAAATATCTGAATTTTTATTATAAACTAGTTTTTTTTAAATATAAATTTATTTTTTTTTAAACATATCTGTACACACATTTGAGGGGAACATTTTATTAGTAATTGAATATTCGCATTAAATTAAATGAAAATATATGAAAAATAATGTGAATACTAAATTTAATTAAATTGTATGTTACCATTAATTAATAATAAACAATTAAATTTTAAGTGCACAATCGTTAATAAATTGTGATTTGTAGTTGAAAAACACAAATGATTTATTTAAATATGTTAAGATAAGCATCATTTCGATCTTTTACTATATAAAACAAGTAAGAGGTTCTAGTCGGGAGCGCCCGACTAGGAGATTCTCTGAACCGTCTTCTTCCGACATCAAATGCATATATATATTCTATTTTAGTAGCTATATGTCAAGTTTGGGGACTCTAGCTCTTATTATTTACCAAAATTGCCCAAAAAACATGATATCGATACCGATTTGTATCGATTGCTTGGAAACGGAGTAAGTTATCGATTATCGGAAGCCAACAAGATCTGCGCGGGCACTAGGCACCTACATCTAAAATTTCAAGTCTCTAGTCTCTAATAGGTTCTGAGATCCTTGCGTTCATACGTACGGGCAGACGGACAGACAGACGGACATGGCTAGATCGACTCGGCTATTGGAGCTGATCAAGAATATATGTACTTTATGGGGTCGGAGATGCTTCATTCTGCCTGTTACATACATTTGGGTTTTGCACAAATACAATATACCCTTATACCCATTTTTAATGGGTTCAGGGTATAAAATAGAAAAACATTACATAACAAATAACCATTGCTGAAGTAAACAAAAACACAACAAAAGAAAAAATATAAATAAATGATTACTAATATTAATTTTGCTTATTTATAACTTTTCCAATCAATGTGTATTTAAGCCCAATACAGCCTCCGTAGCTGGGGTGCGTGCAGACACCGACTTTTTAAGACTTTTTGGGGTGGCAGGCATCTCTTTATAACCGTGACGGGCTTTGGCTGATGCTGGAATAGTTAGGTAGGGGAATGCAGGGCTCGACTGATGTTGTAAATATTTCAATCCGTTTTCGTTCCTTCTTGGGCATGACCCTTACCTAACCTGCATTCATTTTAATAAGTTTGGGACTATTGTCTTTTCCTTCGACCAGACAAAGTTGTACAGCTGTGGGCTCCGTTTTCTTCGCCTTTCTGGGCCAGCGTTTGGGGCTACAAAAGGCTACGTTCGGCAAATATCAAGAATTGACACTCCAAAATTCTTGGGGAACTCACATCTCTATTTTCTGTTTGACAGCCTGCTTGGTGGCTTGCAGACGTGTCACATCCTTGGGAGTCTTCGACATGGTTGCGGCTGCGCAAAATGGACCAGTAGTGTCAGGGATGGCGACGCAACGAGACGGAGTACGCTGAAGAATTTTTGTTTTTAATTCAATTATTTTCATTTGGCTTACCTGTTTCTTTTGCTCCAGCATCGCTTCATTTGGCGCCCGGATCAAAGATTCCTAAAAATCTACTTATGGTTGACCTACTTTCCCTTTCGACATGGTTGTGCGATCAGGAAGATCCTCGTTCTGTATTTAGTCAGCTCCGCTTGACATACAAAGTGACTTGTGCATTTTTTGTGAGTTTCCGATGATTTGCAACACTGCAACACAAAACGTTCCACTTTTAAATCAAAAGTGTGGCGCCAATAAAATTGATAGAGATATGATTTTAATATGCATACGCCAGGTATAAGGAGACATATTCGACCCCATAATAGATATATATTTTTGATCAGTATCAACAGCCAGGTCGATATAGCCATGTCCGTCTGTCCGTTTGAATGTTTCTATGCGAAGTTGTCTTCCAGTTTTAAAGCTATCTTTATGAAACTAATCTTATGAAACTTTTGAAAATTATGTGGTTGTATGGAAAACTTTTTTGTCATTCAAGATATTTTGATTTAACACGGAATTTAAAGATTTCACAATGCTCCCTTAATTCTTGCAAAATCTTATTTACATCGGACAACTATATCATATATCTGCCATAGGAACGATCGTTCCTTTTTCCATTTTTTGATTTGGTTTTTTAATTTGAATTAAATTTTTTATTCACTTTTTTTAAGACACAGTTGTTTCAACGGCGGTTCCTGTCACCAACTGTAAACTTATTTACCCTTCTTAACGTTAAATTGTTCTAGTAATGGGATATATATATATATACATATGTGGCTGTAATATTAAAATGTTAATTAACAGAAATGTTAAAATGATGCTCCATACAATCACTAACCATACAATCACTAACCAAACAACATATAGACTGGACATCCTATACAAACAGCGTTGTCACAAAAAGTATCGGAGGCATCTGGTCCAAAATCGCGAGTAAGGGAGTAAGATATACATATTATTATTTTTTTTATTTGATTTTGATGAATGAATATTGACCCCTAATTACCTGCAGCAGCCCGTTGGGCCGAATGGGTCAACTTTTGGCAAGCCCCTGCATATGGAGGTCAAGTGACTGAACACCAAAATTATTAAAACCATAAATATAAATTCGCTCCTTTTTTTTTAATTTGGTATATTTTAATATTTTAAAGATTTTTATTTCTACTCAAATTTCATTCATCAAAATCATTATAAAGAAGGGCGCGCGTTAGACGCGTGCCAATAATGTATTTTCTTTTGCGCCCATGATCAGCCCATAAACAGAGATTTGTGTGTGTGTGTCTGTGTGTAGAGAGAGGTCCAAATTCAGAAATCCTTAAATCTTGTTAAATTTGCATCGGGGACAGACAGGCAGGCAAGCAACAGGCACACAAGCGCATAAATGCTTCTATTCATACACAAAATATGCAAGTATGCGTGAACAGCGAGTCCAAAATAATCTAAATGCACACATGGCAACGCTTGGGTACCCTGACCAACGATAGCGAGCTAAAATGCAAGAATTTCGCATCGACGTGGCAAACCCTTTCTCTATTTTATATTAGCCGTGCCTTCAAAAGGGTAGAAATGCCTCAGCATTTGGAGAAAAATGAATTTGTGCGGACAAATACACACACACACACATTGAAACGATGCCTAAGCATAAAGAGAGGGCATTGAGAGCTGAGAGTAAGTGAGAGTAAGTGCGAGCGAGTTTGGACCAGATGCCACCGATACATTTTGTGTCTACTTCTGGTACTCATGTCTAGTGTATATGTTGTTTGGTTAGTAATTGTATAGAGCATCATTTTAACATTTCTGTTAATTAACATTTTAATATTACAGCCACATATTATATATCCCATCACTAGAACAATTTAACGTTAAGAAGGGTAAATAAGTTTACAGTTGGTGACAGGAACCGCCGTTGAAACAATTGTGTCTTAAAAAAAGTGAGTAAAAATTTAATTCAAATTAAAAAATCAAATCAAAAAATGGAAAAAGGAACGATCTGTCAAAAAGGTTTTTAATCATAATTCCTATGGCAGATATATGATATAGTTGTCCGATGTAAATAAGATTTTGCAAGAATTAAGGGAGCATTGTGAAATCTTTAAATTCCGTGTTAAATCAAAATATCTTGAATGACAAAAAAGATTTCCATACAACCACATAATTTTCAAAAGTTTCATAAGATTAGTTTCATAAAGATAGCTTTAAAACTGGAAGACTACTTCGCATAGAAACATTCAAACGGACAGACGGACATGGCTATATCGACCTGGCTGTTGATACTGATCAAAAATATATATCTATTATGGGGTCGAATATGTCTCCTTATACCTGGCGTATGCATATTAAAATCATATCTCTATCAATTTTATTGGCGCCACACTTTTGATTTAAAAGTGGAACGTTTTGTGTTGCAGTGTTGCAAATCATCGGAAACTCACAAAAAATGCACAAGTCACTTTGTATGTCAAGCGGAGCTGACTAAATACAGAACGAGGATCTTCCTGATCGCACAACCATGTCGAAAGGGAAAGTAGGTCAACCATAAGTAGATTTTTAGGAATCTTTGATCCGGGCGCCAAATGAAGCGATGCTGGAGCAAAAGAAACAGGTAAGCCAAATGAAAATAATTGAATTAAAAACAAAAATTCTTCAGCGTACTCCGTCTCGTTGCGTCGCCATCCCTGACACTACTGGTCCATTTTGCGCAGCCGCAACCATGTCGAAGACTCCCAAGGATGTGACACGTCTGCAAGCCACCAAGCAGGCTGTCAAACAGAAAATAGAGATGTGAGTTCCCCAAGAATTTTGGAGTGTCAATTCTTGATATGTGCCGAACGTAGCCTTTTGTAGCCCCAAACGCTGGCCCAGAAAGGCGAAGAAAACGGAGCCCACAGCTGTACAACTTTGTCTGGTCGAAGGAAAAGACAATAGTCCCAAACTTATTAAAATGAATGCAGGTTAGGTAAGGGTCATGCCCAAGAAGGAACGAAAACGGATTGAAATATTTACAACATCAGTCGAGCCCTGCATTCCCCTACCTAACTATTCCAGCATCAGCCAAAGCCCGTCACGGTTATAAAGAGATGCCTGCCACCCCAAAAAGTCTTAAAAAGTCGGTGTCTGCACGCACCCCAGCTACGGAGGCTGTATTGGGCTTAAATACACATTGATTGGAAAAGTTATAAATAAGCAAAATTAATATTAGTAATCATTTATTTATATTTTTTCTTTTGTTGTGTTTTTGTTTACTTCAGCCCTGCTTGGGCAATTTTGGTAATAAGAGCTAGAGTCCCCAAACTTGACATATAGCTACTAAAATAGAATATATATATGCATTTGATGTCGGAAGAAGACGGTTCAGGGTATCTCCTAGTCGGGCGCTCCCGACTAGAACCTCTTACTTGTTTTATATAGTAAAGAAACGAAATGATGCTTATCTAAGCATATTTAAATTTAAAAACATAAATAAATGCATTTAAAAATGACCGATACTTTTTCGATAGCAAGTACCAAAATTCGATTGTAAAACACCGCCGCTAACTTGACGCACATCGCTTATGCTCTGATTGTAGGGAAAAATCGAACTATCGGTAGCTATTAAGGTCGATAGTGCTGTTACTGAGAGACAGATGTTTTGAATCGGCTATCAGCTGTTAAATTAAATTTGAAGCGAAATTGTTGCAACTCTGAACAATATTCGACGGATATTTTTTAAAGACTATTACTTATATATCTGGTAATATAGATTTAAATTCCCACAAAGTATATACATATTTTACCCAGTTGGACCCACAAAATCGATAAATCCTTGCGATCTGTCAGTATATATTTAATCTAACGAACCTTTCTTAAGTTAAGTGGAGTTTATTTTTATAGTAAAGTGGAAAAATAGCAAGATCAACGCTTGCTATGAGGCACTAAATATTCTATGGGCAACAAATTTCAATTATATTAAATTATACAATTTAAAGAAAAATTAAGTTATACATATTTCGAATGAAAATACTATATAATGATGTTTAAAAGTCTTCAAGGTCCTATTGCTAAAAACTAAAAAAATACCTTCTTTTAATAAATAAATTCATATGTATGTATGTACATTTCGACTCTTTTTAAGTACTTTTATGTGGACAACTATTGTGTATTTGTAAATTTATGCCCAATAAAATGGATATTTAGGCCATTGTGAGCAAAATCTATATGAAGTAGGAACATGTATGTATGTATGTGTGGTACATATGGTCGATTGTGTGTGCACGGCTTTTAATATAGCACTGTATTTAAATAAACATATAGAGCATGTATTTAAATTTATACATATGTTTATATGTTTACGCATGTGGTTGTGTATGCATGTATGAATATATATATCTCTACATATGTATATGTTAAAATACTATATTGTGAATGTGCGGGAACTTGGCAATATAGGAAAAAAATAGAATGTGGACAGTGTGGACGCTATCTTTAATGTGCACTCATATTCTTTGAATCGAACGGCATATACATCCATTCATATGTATGTAGATATATTTTGTTCATTCGAGGTTATTATTTTAGTCCGGATGGTATTTTAATTTTATTGTTAACTTACACAAGTTTAGACCGCGTATTTTGGGTGGGACTCTGCCGCGTAGGACGAGTATAATTAATTGAAGCAAACAAGTGGTAAGTTAAAGCAAGCTGATTAAGTAATGTTATTTTAAAACCTGAATAAATTCTCTAAAAAAATAAGCATACAGATAAACAAACAGTTATATAAGTTGTAAATATAAACCTGTTTATTTAAATGTTAATTCAAACGCACAAAGAACTACATATATGAATGTCCTCTATGTAATATGTACATCTGTATGTAGTTAATATATTTTCAAATATGTTTATACATATGTGTTCGTGCTTGCCTAAACGTATACATATATGCACACATAGGCCGAAATATCATGCACATACATGTGTACATATGTACCACATATATAAATATATATAAAACAAAACCGTAAAAATAATAAACGGTGTCAACAGGTGGGGATCTAATAGAATGTTTTTATGCATATATCCTGTTGTTATGCCTATCTGTCCGTCTATCTTGTATAAGTTTATTATTATAGACTTTAATTATTACGATCATTTTTACAATTCTTTAGATAAACTGTTTTGAATAACTTTTAAAATGGATTCTGAAGTTGTGGTAAGTGCAAAAGCTGAAAATTTGTATTTTTCATCAAGTTCATTACAATTTATATAATTCAAACTTCATCTACTTCATTTTATGTCGTGCATTCTTTAGATATACAAAGTACTTGACAATTAATTGCTATATATAATTTGAACTCTGCCCACCGGGAAAAAGGTATATATTGGTTTCGATACCAATGAAGACTAAAAATTTAGAATATCCACTCGTGTTAACCAGCTTAAAAAAAGTATTTCGGTTTTGCAGGGTTTTTACTGAAAATCTCTATTCGATTTAATCGCTACAAATGGTCACATAGCCCTATTTCCTTAAAGCACAAGAGAGTATTGCACAGACGGCTGTACCCGACTGTAAAGTTCTTAGCGTTAGCAGAATTCATTGTTTATTTTCTGATCGTTATATCAATGGCTGTAGAATACATACAATTTTGGATTTTGGCGTATGCCCAAACTACCTTTACTACTTACGCGGAGTATCTTTAAGTTAAAGACTCTCTTAGTTGTTTATTATTGACTGGAAAAAATTACCGGCATCGGCTACTCAAACTAATACTGAATATTATAATAATAAGAAAATGGCACCCAACATAGCCTTCAACAATAACAACAATAACAATTTAAAATTATTGCTGAATTTGGACCGTCGACCTACCGTCTTCTGTAAAAATTTCAGATTCAACCCTCTTGCGGTCAAGCCATGCGGCTTAAGCTACGCGTTCAGTCAATCAGGAGACGCAGCTTAATATATGCTATCTATAAACTATTGAGTCTGGCTTCTGTGTTCATGAATGTCACAAAGCATATGCGCTACGATCAATAGACGATGCGCATTTTTCATTAAAATGCAATATTACGATGCTTGCCAATTGCTTTTTACATAAGTGCATAAGTGCTTACCCTCAAATTGCTTCCAATAACGTGTTATTGTTTTTCATTTTGACATTAAGACGAAATTAAGTGAAAACGACAATACCGAATCGGTTGAGGACTCGAAAGAAAATGTGCCACCTGAAGCAACCGACACAACCAAGGATCAGAAAGGCGGCGATGCAATTGTTAATGAGGACGTGGCTAGTGCAGAAGATGACAATGAGAGTCGTCATACAGAGATCAAAACAACTACAATCGTTACAACTAAAAAGGATAATGGCGATGAAGTTCCCATTACAGAGACTCAAACAACAACCACGGTCGTTGTCACGAAAAAGGATAGCGAAGAGGAGACTTCGCAGAAGGAAACTGAAACGACATCATCAACAGTTGCTATAGCTAAAAATGGATTGGCTTCCATTAAAGATAATGTATATAATGTTGATAACAGCCAGATAAAAGCCGAACCTAAAAATTCGCATCCAGTAAAGCCCGAACTGGAATCGGATCCGATTACAGAAACCGCTGAATTTATTAACAAAAGTGGCTCGCAATCAAGTATTCCGGATACATCTACGGATGCCGCAGAACAAAATGTTAGTGTTTCCGAAAAGAAAGAGGAAGAGGAATCCGAAGAGAGTGACAGTACGTCTGATGATGAAGACGTGGGAGAAGAGACAGAGGCCAAGATTAAAAAAGTATAAAACCTTTTATTAACCTATAATAATAGCTCGAATTTCAAAACTTAATGCGATTGCTCGATAACTTGAATATATACACTATATATATACAATATATTACATATATATTTACAAAATCTAAACCTTTAAATAAGTTATTTTATTGAAAATATAAATATTGTATTATTTGATTTGAATTCTAATAAGTAACTAAGCCAATTATCTGAGGATGAGCGAACATTTTCATCAATTTCTAATTATTATTGCTAACAATTTGATTTCTTTAGAATAAAGATGACCGAGATGAATCCCAGCCAGAAGTTGTTGCCGTAGAAGTAAAAAAAGCCCAAGACTCAGCTGAAAAAATAAACAACGCAAATGTAAGTAATCACACAATATTTTATATATTTATTGTATGTACAAATATTCCGTATTTTAAAAACTATTTTTATTCTCGGAACCCATTGAAAATGGGTAAAAAGGGTATAATGTATATATTCAAACCTGCAGAAAGCAGCATCTTCGACTCCATAAAGTATATATATTCTTGATCACCATCAATAGCCAAGTCGGTCTAGCCATGTCCGTCTGTCTGTCCGTCCGCCCGCTCGTCCGTCTGAACTCAATTATCTCAGAACCTATAAGAGCTAAAGACTAGCAATTATAATGTAGTTTCTTTTAATGTCCGCGCAGTACGCTTTTGTTTCCGATGCTTCCGACAGCTCGACACGTTTTCATCGATAAGAATCGATATAAAAACCTTATTTTGAGCAATTTAAGCCACAATTTAAATACAAATGCCTTTTTGAGAATACACAAATTTTCTTTGGTACAATTAAATCTGTTGTTAAAAATTTCATCAAGATATCCCCTAGTTGGGAGCTTCCAACTAGAGCCTCTTACTTGCTTAAATGTTATTTTTGCAAGAAGCGGCGTTTACTTTGTGGATTTTAAAAGTAATTAGATGATTATCTTACTACACAATACCCATTAAATAAGGCGAAACTGTTTGCCTTAATATGTTATTATAACATGTGCACTTATATTTCAGAAGGATATTAATAATGAAATAGAGAACATTATATCTGATATTGATATAAATATAAAAGCACAAGAAAAAATAACGCAACTCAAGGAACAAGAGCTGCAACTTATCCAGAAACAAAAGGAGCTGGCCAACCAGATTCAACAGCAACAATTATTGGCTCAAAAGTTGTTTGCGCAAAATCAATTAAAGGAACAGGAATTGAAGGCGCAGCAGTATCAGCAAAATCAATTGAAGGAGCAGGAGCTGAGGGGGCAACAGTATCAGCAAAATCAATTGAATGAACAAGAGTTGAGGGCGCAACAGTATCAACAACAGAAGCAGTTCCAGAGCCACAATGAGCACAAGGAGGAGATAGCTCCAAAAGTGGCACAGGATTACACAAGGGCTCACAGCCAGCTAGAAAATTCATACGACAAAAAGGTAGGCCACAATAGCACTACTTATATCACAAAGTGAGAAACTTATCCTAATTAAGAAAATCAAGAAACATGGTCGGTCTACCTATTTGTGTACCCTGTACGCATAGAAAATGTGTTATATGGGTATATGGGTAAATTTGCATTTATTAATGTAACAGACAGGATGATGAGCAGATCCGATCTACCCATGCTCGTCTTTCCGTCCCTTCCCTCCTGCCCTCTGTCTGTATAAAAGAGTCGGTCCAAATTATAAGAGCATGATGGTACACTTTCACATTCTAAAGTAAAATATGTACAGTATGTATATTTTGTTCGTTGTTTACTCAGTTTACTCGCTCATATGCATGTTGTACATATATATCTTACGTATATATCTATATCTATATATATTTCTATTTGTTTTTGTGTGTGGTACTCGTAGTATTTCGAATTCATTTGGGTGATCCGTTACCCACTCTTCGAGTATCTGTATCTGTATTTGTATTTGAATTTGTGTGTGTGAAACTCGCAGTATTCAAATTCATTTGGTTATCTGTTACCCACTCTCCGAGTATCTCTATAATTAGCCTTTAAGAGAGAGCTTCTAAAATATATGCACACATCATTCACTATATACTCAAACATAAGCACACGCACATTCACATGAATGTGAATCTGTTAAGAAAATTTTATTTATACGAAAGGCGAAGGCGTTTACGAGTCCAATTTGTGCCTGAACATGCAAAAAGGCTTTTCAACGTCCAATATTAAGGGTCTATCCCAATCTTTATGGAATTCTTGTGATCTGGAAAGGTCACATGGCCAAATTAACAATTGTACAATTGAAAGGAAACGTGGCTTTCGACCTAGCGATCGTTATGATGAAAGCAAGAAAAAAATTTTGCTCGAATTGAGCACAAAACTGTGGCAAAGGAAAAATGTACGTAGATCGTTGCAAAAGGCTCTACATACTATATGTACATATCTGTCGATATGAATGATAGATAATATAAACAATATACACGAATGACAGCATACATAGTACATGAATTTCGAATATAAGTTCATTGCATATACAATTTGATTGAATTTAGAAAATAGTATGAATGTGTATGTTAATTAAAATAGGAATCATCCAACTTGTCGAGGACTGTAGATTTGCGCAAAATATTTACACCAGCTACAGATGCTCCCGAAATATTGCCAAAGAACCGTAAGTAATATTTCAATTGAATTGAGAAAGGTGATACGTAAAATGAATAACATTTAATATGTAATATTTACGGCGGTTACCCAATCGAAAAGCCTTCGACAATTGTAAGCTGAAAAATATAAATATATTCACACATATCCTTAATCATCTTCATCAAATATTAAATGATACTCATATATTTATATGTATATATTATATATTATCATATATTATATGTATATTTATATTTACATATGTATACATATTTTATATCTGTATACATATCTATATCTGAAATTCGCTTTGTGCTTTATGGCTTAGTTTCATGTTACCTAGGAATCAGAGTGGATTACGTATCGCCTTTAACAATACTTTGAGTGAATCAATGGAATTTACCTTAAATTTGTTCAAAATAGGAAAACTCTATGCCTCATCAGCATTTTATTCCCCATCACTGCATCCAACCGTGGAGGACCAGGTTGAGCTTGCTCGCCGAATATCGCATTCATTGAGCGACATAAGCAATCAAACCTCTAAGGGTCAATCAATGTATGTGAATCGGAAAAAACGATCCGTAAAATGGGTTCACGAAGGTTCTGGCCAAGGTAATAGATCTCTTAATGCATGTATAAAAGGTCCTGTTTTGCCCTTAGGTTTTATACGTTTACACTTCTAATACGATGTACATATTTATATATACAGTGGACCCTCGGTTAACGTACAAAATTGATTCCAGCATCTTGTTCGTTATGCGAAACGTTTGCTAGGCAAAACCAATATTTCCATATAAATCAATGTAAAATAAAATAATGCGCTTTAGGTCATTAAATATACACTCTAATTTAATGATTTAATTTGAACTTTTAATTGAAAGAAAGTAACATAAAATGCAACAAAATTTTTAAAGCACTGAAAAAAATATTCTAAAATATTTTAAGTTCAGTTTTTATTGAAAGATAGTTAAATGAAACGTGTACAATTTTTTAAGGAACTGATAATATATTGGACGGAAGAAGTCAATCTGAAATGGAATGAAGAAATTAGCGTAGAAATCGTTCTTTCGATTGCTATCTGAACATGTTGAGAGTTTGTGTAGAAAACTAAGTCTTGTATTTTATCTCAACTGTGCAACTGTTAAGTCTGCAGAATGCGGTCATTGCTAAGCACAGACAGAAATTTTACATGCGATTAAGGCTTACGATGGTCTTTATGCGAAACTTCGTTCGTTGGGAGAAACTTTTTCCCAAAAAATTGTGTTCGTTATGCGAAATGTTCGCTATATGGGGCGTTCATTGACCGAGGGTCCACTGTATACTTTTTAGGTCATCAAATAGAAACTGTTCGTTATCTAAACATAAAAAGTATATATTGATGCAATCGAAATACAGCATTGTGTAGGAGAAATGATTTTAAAATAATGTTTGGCTCTGAACATTGTTGTTTCAGGCATAGGTTTGTGGGAGTTGGGGTGGTCAATTTTGCCAGTTCAGCCAATCTGTGCCTTACTTTGGCTATTGCAAGTTAGAAACACATAAAATCTTAAATCATCTACAAACTTGAGCAAATTCAATATTTTAAGCAACTTTAACATTAGATTCAACTGTTTACTAATATATATTAAAATATAATGAAATCAAAGTTGACAGGCATACATCAAAAGACTTACTAGATAGACTGTCAGGGATCTAGGCAGGGAAGATATATTTACACTGTAAAAGATGTTTGTGTCTTGATAGTAATTTCGATATTATTGCAGCATTAACTAAACTTATATTTTCATATTTATATATCCATACACATATGTATGTAAAGTACACAAATATTTGTATACCCTGAACCCATTAAAAATGAGTGTAAGGATTTGTATTGTATTTGTGCAAAATCCAAATGTATGTAACAGGCAGAAGGAAGCATTTCCGATCCATATTCTTGATCAGCACCAATAGCCGAGTCGATCTAGCCATGTCCGTCTGTCTGTCCGTCTGCCCGTACGTATGAACGCAAGGATCTCAGAACCTATAAGAGCTAGAGACTTGAAATTTTAGATGTAGGGGCCTAGTGCCCGCGCAGATCGAGTTTGTTTCCGATAATCGATAACTTACTCCGTTTCCAAGCAATCGATAAAAATCGATATCGATATCCTGTTTCTTGGGCAATTTTGGTAAATAACAAGAGCTAGAATCACCAAACTTGACATATAGCTTCTAAAATAGAATAATAGAATTAAAAAAATAGAATTTGATGTTGGAAGAGGAGGGTTCAGGGTATTCCCTAGTCGGGAGCTCCCGACTAGAACCTCTTACTTGTTGAGCATGAATAAGTCTTAAATAAACCATATCTAATTGCCCAGATATAATAATTTTAATAATTTTTTTGATTACATTCGTTTCTGTTCTGTATCGTATTTAATCGGCTTTGCATCCCTCAGTTTAAAAACTATGTAGGCTATTACCAAAGACAATATAAAAACGTTGATAAGATCCCACTATTCAGCCTGATTTTTCGAAAATTGAGAGTAAAAACCAAATTAGTTTAATTGCTCTTTCATATCTGAAACAGCGAAAAATCTAAGAATAGAATGTACTCTCAGCTTCGGCTCTATGAGCGCCGAATGAATCTAACTAACTTCTTTTGTGTGTTGCCATTTATTGAACAACCACAAAAGCTAGATCTGCTTTAAAAAAAGCTCAAAACAGATGTTGTTCAACAAAAGCTGAACAAAAAACTGAAATTGTTAAGGTATTTTTTGTTTGATATTTTCAAAAAAAGTAATAGAGTATACAACAAATTCAAAACATTTTATAATTAAATTAGTTTACGCACATAATTATAAGATGTTAATTACATAATCCAGATTTTCATCCTTATCTACATAGGAGTTTTCATCCAACGGTATACTAAACTTGACATCACCCATATCTTTTTGCAGATCCCTTTAGAAATGAAGAGCCAAATCATTTTTTAATATATTTGTGAATTTGATTCGTAACATTTTTTATTCGGAAAGAAAATATTATTATTGGCACGCGTCTGGCGCGCGCCCTTCTTTTTTAAGATTTTGATGAATAAAATTTGTGTAAAAATAAAAATCTTTAAAATATTAAAATATACCAAATTAAAAAAAAGATCGATTATATATTTATAGTTTGAATAATTTTGGTGATCAGTCAGTTGACCTCCATATGCAGGGGCTTGCCAAAAGTTGACCCATTCGGCCCAACGGGCTGCAGGTAATAAGGGGTCAATATTCATTCATCAAAATCTTAAAAAAGAAGGGCGCGCGTCAGACGCGTGCCAATATTGATATTTTCTTTTGCGCCCATGATCTGCCCATTCACAATTGTATGTGTGTGGGTATGTTAAGAGGTCGAAAATAAGAATTCCCATAATCTTGTTAAATTTACATCGGGAACAGGCAGACAGGCAAGCAACAGGCACACAAGCGCCTAAATGCTTCTATTCATACACAAAATATGCAAGTATGCGTGTATACCGAGTCCAAAATATTTTAAATGCACACATGGCAACGCTTGGGTACCCATACCAACTATAGCGAGCTAAAATGCATGCTAAATGCATATTAGCCGTGCCTTCAAAAGGGTAGAAATGCCTCAGCATTTGGGAAAAATTGAATTTTTGTGCAGTTTTGCTTGTCGGACACATACACACACACACATTTAAACGATCCCTAAACATAAAGAGAGAGTATTGAGAGCTGAGAGTAAGTGCGAGCGAGATAAAAGTTAGCCACGTTGCCGTTCTATCGCACAAGTCAAATGGAAGAGAGTGCGCCAAGCACTTTCCTGTAGAGTAAGAGGTTCAAAAATACATCATATGTATATCTTACTCCCTTACTCGCGAGCTTGGACCAGATGCCACCGATAGTTTTTGTGCCTACTTTCCTGTACTCAGCGGCGTGTCGTGTGAAGCGGGAAAGCCAGATGAGAAGTAAGGCTAGAAATTTTGCTTCGCACTCAAATGTATGGGCATTACTCATCTTAGTGTTTATATTGTCTTTGATATTACCAACATATTCATATTTTACTATTACATCCTGCAATACGAACAAATAATCAATTTTATAATATATATTATGCTTGTTGTCGTACTGTATTGAGAGCCTATAGAAAAAAAAGAAGTGATTAATTAATTTGTTTAAAAATCGTTTACCTAAACTTACAAATAACATACCATATTGTAGAAATAGAAGAAGATGATATTATTGAAACACGCTCATTAAGTAAAGAAAATACGGAAGAGATTTTGAAGCCGGATTTAAATAAGCTGGAAAAAATGCCCTTAAAGCTAGTCATGAATCCACGAGGACAAATGCGCGATTATAACTCTCTAAAAGAATCTATTAATGTTGAATCAGGCCTTTTATCACCTGACCATTGCGCTGAGCTAATAACTGCGCTGCAACTGCAAAAAGGCCGAGGTAAACAAATTTAATTCCATTACATTTAGCAATAAGAATTTAAGTACTACAACATGCACACAAATGATAAAACAGTCACACTATTATTATACCCTTGTCTTGAAATGTGCAACGCATAGAAGAAGACATATCCGTCCCCATAAAGTATATATATTCTTGATCAGTATCAACAGCCAAGTCGATATAGCCAAGTCCGTCTGTCTGTTTCTATGCGAACTAGTCTCTCAGTTTAAAATCTGTCTTTATGATACTTTGCAGAAGTGCTTCTTTCTGTTGAACACAGTACATACGTTGAAACCAACTGGATCAGAACACTATATCATATAGCTGAAAAGTAGGTTCTTGTATAAAATTTGTTTGTTTATCAAAATATCTTGACCAAACTCGGCATTTATTAGTTTTACTATACTCCTCATATATATGCAAACCCCTATCAACAACGGACCACTATATCATATAGCTCCCATTGGAACAATCGGTCGAAAAGAAGGTTCTTGCATGGAAATCTGTTTGTTTTTTCAAGATATTATTATTTTCTATGCACTATTTAACCTGTGCTTCTTAGATACGGCCACATCACTATGATTCTTATGAAAGAGTTGGGCCTGCAAGGGTATTAAATCTTCTCGTTTTTATACCCTGAACCCATAAAAAATGGGTATAAGGGTATATTGTATTTCTGCAAAATCCAAATGTATGTAACAGGCAGAAGGAAGCATCTCCGACCCCATAAAGTATATATTCTTGATCAGCATCAATAGCCGAGTCGATCTAGCCATGTCCGTCTGTGTGTCCGTCCGTCCGTCCGTATGTATGAACGCAAGGATCTCAGAACATATAAGAGCTATAGACATTAGATGTAGATGCTCCTAGTTCCCGCGCAGATCGAGTTTGTTTCCGATAATCGATAACTTACTCCGTTTCCAAGCAATCGATAAAAATCGATATCGATATCCTGTTTCTTGGGCAATTTTGGTAAATAACAAGAGCTAGAGTCACCAAACATGACATATAGCTTCTGGAAGAGGAGGCTTCAGGGTATCCCCTAGTCGGGAGCTCCCGACTAGAACCTCTTATTTGTTTTTATATTAAATTTATACACATACACACACATGCACATACTCAGTTAAACAAGCATAAATAACTTAAATAATAGGTTTGTTCTACGCAGAGATAGCAAACCTAGTAATTTTGTTGATTTATTGCTTGATTTGAAAGGTTTTGATAATTAAATAATCTAATAATTTAATTTAATTAATAACATGTACCATTCGAACATTGCTTTGCTCGTCGCCGCCGCCGCCTCGGCCTGCTTGCTGCTCTTCTATAAACAACAACTAAAATAATTGTGAAAACCCAAAACAATTATAAATATATACATATACATATATCCAAACATCGCCATCAAGGAGCTGAGCTCTTTGCAAAACGTCGTAGAAAGGCTGAAAATTGGGTAGTCGACGAGACAAATGCCGGCATTCACAGTCCATCTGGTATTCCAGATTACCAACAATATCAGGCAAGGCCGGCGACCTCGCCGAGCATATTGCCAGCTTATTCGGATGCTGGAAAGCATCGGGTTCAACTAAATCTTCACCAGGATCAGCTCATTGAGAAATACTCAAAGCCAGGTGTCCAGGTGGTTAAATCACCCTGGGAAGCTGCCCTTCAGACTGGCTCGGCAAGCGCAGCATTTTTGGAGGACTCCAGATATCAAAACCAAACACCGATTGCCTCTCAAGCGTCACCTGTGCATTTCAATCAAGATGTCACCGATTTTCCCAGTTCAATACCAGAGTTGCCGTCACGACAGCCTGCCCCTTATTATGGCTTATCGAACAACGTACAGGATCCGTATAAAAATGTTAATTTCTAGCACTTGAAGTATATGGTATGGTATTTTAATCTGAAACTTTTGCTTTTAGCTACATAACATTCGTGTCCAAGGCCAACCCAATCAACCCAGCAATCCACAAAGAGAACTGGCATACAAGCCAAGCGTGGCACAAGGCTGGGGAGGTCGCAATGTTGAACTACCAAGAGGTAAAGGCAAATGTAATTTCAAAAGAATACAACAAAATATCATTAGGCCTCCTTCTAATTCTAACATTAATTTTCTTAGTCCTAAGAAATCGCTAGTTAGTTTTTTTTTTAATTTAAGAGCAAGTCTGCAGAAGCACTAACCAAACAACATATGTTGTTTGGTTAGTGCCAGAAGTCACGTATATATTGCGATTTCGTTTATTGTTAATGCGAAATTACATATTTCAGAGTATTATTGGCAAAGCTACCAGCAACAATATGAAAGACAGAATACTGATGATATGAGTGAATATTATTGCTCGAATGAACATGTTCTCATAGATCCAAAGATCTATGGAGCTAATATAACTAATAATTCAAACAACTATTTAACAGATGAAATTGAACACAGGCTACTACAGTTAGAACAATTTCAGAAATGCTTTATGCAACAGCAAAGGCTGGGTCTAAACATAGGAAGCAAACATGGCATGCCTGAGGCATCTGGTCAACGAAATGTGCCTACGGACATGTACAGAATAATTAAGGAATCTGAGATTGCTTCCGATAATACTAAATTATCAAAATGCAAAGAAGATATAGAAAAGAATATTGCTGAAGTAACTGATCCAGTTAATGTACGTGAATTAATTTTCTCATTTGAGCAACAGTCCTTACGAGAACACGAAGGACTTCAGAAAAACCGATGCGAATTTACAACTGACACAAGGCGTTTGACTGACGATAATTCAAAATCACAAAGTAATTTCGCATTGGAAACGGAAAGAAATGATGATGCTGATGAATCCACAACCAAAGGCATGATTCCATCCACTCCAACTTTCTGTTCATATCCTCCAGTATACGTGTTCACATAAATATCTGTTTATTGTACATAAAATATATTACAATTCTGTCACAATATGTTAAGCTATATTTGGTATATATATATATATATATATATTATATATATTATATATATATTATATATATTATATATATATATATATATATATATATATATATATATATATATATATATATATATATATATATATATAATTTATATATATTCAACACAAGGCCAATAATAAGTCTAGTAAACAATCTCTTATTTGATAGATTAGGCTCCCCAAATGAAGAAATGACTATTTTGATGACTTGATGATTTGTCAAAAAATAGAATTCGGATATCGGTTTTGGAAAGGGCTTTTTTGAAAATGGGGAGGACAGAGAGACATAAGGACAAGCAGACAGACATGACATATTTAGAATCGGATAGAATACACAATATTTTTCGATTATATTTATTATATATTATAATATTTAGATTTGTTGCACAGTGTTATTTGGATATACCTGTATGTTTGTTAATATGTGAAATTCACATTGTGAATGTGAATGTGAATATATGTATGTATATTCCTACAAACATTTGTAGAATAAGTTCTAATATATTATTTTATTTAATTGATTAATTAATTGTAGGCTTATATGTGCCCAAGGAAATCTCACTATCAAGCTACGCACCTCCGCCGATACAGCAACAGACATCTAATTTTCAAAGCCCAACAAAGCCCGAATTTTCAAAAGGATATATGACATCTCATGTTGGTGATGCACCAAGTGGTTTTCCCATTTCGAATCCCACATCCGGATTATATTCATCAGTACCGCCCAAGCAACAACTCTATGCTCCGGCGAGTTACCAAAAGGTGCCCCCAAGCTCTGTCCAGGCGGCACCACAGGTCAACTTTAATCCCTCTCCGTTATCATTTGATAAGTTATCCAAATTTCAAGAATCCAACCAGAGAAATTCTGGTGTTTCGACTCAGCGATATCTTAATGTAAACAAACAGCCAGCATATAAAAACGTGCGGAATGCATCCCCCACTCCTTTCACGCCTGGAGGCATCGGAAATTGTGCAGGTTTTGATAATATCCAACGATCACCTTTTTCATCGACCCCATCAAATTATGCACAGAATCCATATAGCCCGGAATCTCATCAATTGCGTGCCCCCGCTCAATGCTTCAACAACAGCGCTCGTGGCTGGACCCAAGCCCCTAATCCTCAACGAAATGCCCTTTCTTCAAAACTCCCAGTAGCGACAGAAGGTCTCCCTTACTCAGACTTCTGATATTGATCAGATATTATATATTATAGTTCTTAATTTGTAATCCGATTACGATTTACGACATGCTAATCTTCTATTCAACGTATACATACATATACATACATATGTATATACATATATATATATATATATCTATATAAAAAACTTAAACACATACATATACATATACATATACATATACATATACACATACATATACATATACATATACATATACATATACATATACATATACATATACATATACATATACATATACATATACATATACATATACGTATACATATACATATAAATATACGTATACATATACATATAAATATACATATACATATACATATACATATACATATAAATATACATATACATATACATATACATATACATATACATATACATATACATATACATATACATATACATATACATATACATATACATATACATATACATATACATATACATATACATATACATATACATATACATATACATATACATATACATATACATATACATATACATATACATATACATATACATATACATATACATATACATATACATATACATATACATATACATATACATATACATATACATATACATATACATATACATATACATATACATATACATATACATATACATATACATATACATATACATATACATGTACATATACATATACATATACATATACATATACATATACATATACATATACATATACATATACATATACATATACATATACATATACATATACATATACATATACATATACATATACTTATACATATACATATACATATACATATACATATACATATACATATACATATACATATACATATACATATACATATTCATATACATATACATATACATATGTATGTATCTGGTTGACTATATTCGACATAAATTTATGTTTATTGATTGCGTTTGTTTATTTGCTTCTTTAAAATAATAATATATATTTATGAACAATTGTGTTTTAGTCATTTTTCATTTCAAACATGTAAATGTTTCAAAATGGTTAAAATCAAGGCAAATCACATTATAAGTATATCCCAGAGTACCCATTTTGTGGGTGGAACAATGGTGACAACACAACAGAAATCTCTATATTCAGTTGCCACGGAATTTCAAGATACAATTTTCAGTCACTGTAGCCAACACAAAAAGTACATACATACATACAACGTAACGGTCGCATGCAAAAATCCCCCGGGTGGCTTGGAAGTTGAAAGCGAGTGGAGAAGAAGAAGACATGACTCTGTGACTGCGAATTAAAGACATAGCAGTGCTAAGAAGCCACTACAATGAGTTAGAAGAGTGCAGAAGCTAGGATCCTAGGTTGAAGACCAAAACAAAAAGGGATAGAAAACACAGAATTTCTGGTGTGCTCTTTTCATTTGTTTTCGTTTGTTTTGATTACGGTTGTTGTCGATTTTTAAAGTAAATGTTCTGCAGTTATCTGTTTAATACTCTATGACTGGTGATGTGCTTTTAAGCTTTGCTCCACATTAAGGGTAATGAAATCTTGAGCAGCATCGGTGATTATGGTGCAATATTTTAATATTGCAATATAGCAAATATTCAAAATTTCAAGGCTAGCCTTTTAATTTCCGAGATCGACAGACAGAGGGACATGCAGCCGGGTGTTCAGGAGGACATGTGGCCTGATCAATTTAGCTTGGTAAAATCTGTTTATCTATTTTGAAAAGGTTCAGGATAACAAAAATCATAATGGAATTATTGAATCACACTTGGTAACACTTAGAGTTGCGATAGTGTAAAATAAACAAATGACAACCCTCGTAAAAGCTCTCTCTTTTGCATTCTCAGAGAGCCAAAATGAATACGACCCGATGTTTCGGTGGTTGAACAAAGTTGAGCTGCGCAGTGCGTGTGAAAGCGAATTGTGAATACAAATCGCAGGATTAAATATATTGAACAAATTTTTCTACAAAAACTAAATTCCATCTTATATATATATATATAAAAAAAAAAAGAAGTTATCAATGTTAAAATTAAAAAATAATGCTAGTAAGTGCTCGTTGAAAATCTAAGAAATATGTAGACATTCGTTTGAAAAGTTTTAAGAAAATTTATTATGGTTTATAAAAGAGATGGATAAGGTTTCGAGCCTCTTAATAGTAAGTATATTAAAGTAAATGACAATGAAAAGAATACATAATTTGGCGCGTAAATAATAAAATAAACTATAAATACCAGTGAACCATCGTTGATATTTTGTTTTTGTTTAATGAATGGATAAATGGACAAATAGATATGTGAAAAAAATGTAACATACACGTTTGCTATTTCTAAGAATAATGCGATTGAATTAAATTATTAGGTTAACAGCCAACTTTAATAAATCCGTTAAGATAGTTAAGTCAATGTCAATCGATTATCCGACTACGATGTACACTGTACGCCAAATCGCCCTCACATCAATTGTACTTACCTGTTCATGCATACACACATGCCATAAGCTATGAAGAAGAAGAGAAGAAATCACCAATTACCCTACACGCGTCACTTGGATCCTCTAATATATTCTTGAGGATAAGAATTAATGATCAAATCAAGTTTAGTTCGGGACAGGCACTACGATGCGGGTAAATAAAATAGTAGACCATATTGTGACTGAGACACAGTCTTATGAGGCTGCAAGCTGTAAATGATTTTCATACAAGACTTTTTGAAAATGGGTGTAACGGGTATAATCAAATACAATATACAACAGATGCTTCTATGCAGCTTGATTTTTCGTAAATTGAGAATAAAAATCAAATCAGTTTCATTGCGCTCTCAAAACTAAAAGAGAGAAAACGCTAAAAATATGGAGAGCGAAGCGCCTGTAGACCGGTGTGTCGCTTAAAGTGGGAAAGCAAGATGAGAAGCCAGGCTAGAAATTTTGCGTCGCATTCAAATGGGCGTTACTTACCTTAGGGCTTATATTGTCTTTGGAATAACGGTATTTTTTAAGTGTAAGTAGGCAGAAATATACATATTTTGTCCCATAAGCTATGTATATTTTTACTTAGCATTTATAGCCGAGTCTATCTAGCTTTTTGAGTGTTCATCCGTTTGTATGAACACATCAACCTAGCAATCAACAAGAGCTAGAAATTTTGAATGTTGGGCTTCCTAATGACCACGCAGGTTCTTTTGTTTGTTGTTGAAATCGATAAAAACTATTATCGAAATTCATATTCCGATATCTTAACCATATTCGGCATTAACTATTTTCTCTGTGCTTCTTAAATACGGGCAAAGCACTATGAGCATTATGAAAAGTTTGTGTCTGCAAGGGTAATAAATCTTCGGAGTGCCGAAGATTGCCTTCTTTCCCGTTTTTTTTTTTTTAATTGATTTTAATTGAATAATTCGTAATAAAAAAACAAGAATTATAAAAATAAAAACGTACAATCAATTTATTCTAACACATAAGAGTGTGTTAAATATAATTCTTTTTTTTTTTTTAATATCATTTATGCTTTAATTAAATATGTGTCTTTCTTGTGGTTTTGGCTGGAAAAGGTACAAAGCATCCCCTATTTGGGATAAATATGATATTATTTGTATTATTAATAATTAATTAAAATGAATAGATTTTGCCCAATAAGGGGGCACAGTTTAAATAAAAATGATTATTCTGAAAACTGAAAAATAATAAAACGTGACTTATAAAATTTGATTTATTTATTTTAGGTTTGAGATATATAATAAAAAAGCATCGAGGCATTACTGAGAAGTAGCCCAGGTGAACAAAAATGGTGACTTCATCTGGGAAAAAACAGAGCTCGGATAATTTAAATAAGTTCAAGCCGATCATTTTTTTTATCCTGCACTTAAATAGTAGTATCCAGCAGATAAGCGCATCATCGTTCTTAATAATCAATGGTAAGGATAAAATGTAACTTAACAATTGAATGGGCTTTCATTAATTCTTATTATATTTCCAGACTTGGCCAACTTGGATCGACCTTACTTTGACGACATAAGCCCGAGAAATATCTCAGCTGTTGTTGATGAAACAGCAATTTTAAGATGCCGAGTAAAAAATAAAGGAAATCGAACTGTACGCGTATACATATTTTATTGATATATATTTTTATTTAACAAACTCAGTTAATCTAGTCATGTCCGCTTGTCTGTACGTCCGTATAAACACCTTATTCTCTGAAACTGCATAAGCTAGCGACTTGAAAGCTGAAATATATTGCAAACATATTTCCCATAGTGTGAAGCAAGTTAAAGGATCACTGGGAATTGCATAAAAAACATCCCAATATGAATTCTTTACTCAATAACAAATGCACCAATGAGTTATAACAGTCAAACATTATTAAGAATTAAGACAAATGCGGGGAGAATAGGTACTATGGCAACTTTACCACATTGCTCGATCCATCCTACTGAAGCATATTTTATACCTTTAACATTTTTTTTTTAAATTTATAACCCATGTGAAGGTTTCGTGGATGCGCAAGCGAGATCTTCATATCCTGACCACCAACATCTATACATACACCGGGGATCAAAGGTTCTCCGTTTTACATCCGCCAAATAGCGACGACTGGGACTTGAAGATTGATTACGCACAAGCCCGAGACAGTGGCATTTATGAGTGCCAAGTAAATACAGAGCCGAAAATCAACTTGGCGATTACTTTAGAGATCACAGGTAATTAATTAATTAAGAGTCGCTATACTCTGTTCACAAAGTAATATAAGCCGCATTGGTTTGTCCATTTGTCCGCAAAAACAATATTTTAATTTCAATCTTAAAGCTTCAAATATATGCAAGAATGGTTGGGTGTACTCAGCAAAAGAAGAATTATATCCACAGATTTACAGTCTATAATATATATGAAAGTATATCAATATGTCAATATATTGATTATCATTTATCAACATGTCCATATATCAATTTGTCAGTACGTCAATATGTCAGTAGGTGCAAGATTGAAACGTAAGCTGTGTACGAGGCATTAGGCAGAGCAGTCGCTGTAAAATTTTTTTTTAAAATAAAGTAGATGATGGAAATTCAATTCATGTCATTTGGAATAAGTCGTTACATTTTCTTACGTCCATTACATTTTCCATAGCAGTC